TTGAACCACTCAGGGAACCCTGATGACCAATACAAACCTCCAAGTGTCCTCAGCGACTCGCTACAAGGGTGCAAATGACCAGCTGTCTGCAAGGAATATCGATCCTTTCCATTCCTCCACCATCCAGTCAGAGCCGAAGAAGCTTCTTGGAGGAGAAGCGAAGCATCTTTCAAAGAAAAACCAGAAAGCCCAGTTGCCTCTTGAAAAGGAAAAGAGCACTTTTAGGACAACCACCTGGACCTGGATGACAGAGAATCTCCATATAGACACTTAGACTTGTATACCTCTTCACGGTGCTTTCCAGCCCTCTCTAAGCAGTTTACCTGAGTCAGCATATTTGCCCCCAACAATCATTTTACCGACTTCGGAAGGAGGGAAGTGAGAATCTTTGGCAGTTGTCAGAACTGAACACACTCAAAACCGTAGAGATGGTGGTAGACCTTAGGAGAAACCCTCCCGTACTACCACCTCTTACAATACTAGACAACACAGTATCAACAGTAGAGACGTTCCGATTTCTAGGTTCTATCCTATCGGATGACCTAAAATGGACACCTAACATCAAAAATGTCATCAAAAAAGCACAACAAAGAATGTTCTTTCTACTCCAACTCAGGAAGCTCAAACGGCCCAAGGAGCTGCTGATCCAGTTCTACAGAGGAATTACGGAGTCTGTCATCTGCACCTCTATCCCTGTCTGGTTTGGCTCTGCAACCCAACAGGACAGACACAGACTCCAGAGGATAATTAGGACTGCAGAAAAAACAATGGCTACCAACCTCCCTTCCATGGAGGACCTGCATACTACACGAGTCAAAAAGAAGGCTGTGAAAATATCTACAGACCCCTCACATCCCGGACATAAACTGTTTCAACTCCCACCCTCAAAACGACACTATAGAGCATTGCACACCAGAACAACTAGATACAAGGGGAGTTTTTCCCAAAAGCCATCACTCTGCTAAACAAATAATTCCCTCAACACTGTCCAACTATTTACAAAGTCTGCACTACTATTACTGTTAATCTTCTCATCACTCCTTATCGCCTATCCTCTTCCACTTGTGACTTTATGACTGTAACTTTGTCGCTTGTATCCTTACGATCTATATGGACTGTTTCCTAGTAGGATTTGATTGCTTATTTGTATCCTAAGACTATTGTTAAGTTTTTTACCTGATGATTCTTGACTCTTGACAAAAGTATCTTTTCTTTTATGTACACTGAGAGTATTTGCACCAAGACAAATTCCTTGTGTGTCCAATCACACTTGGCCAATAAAGAATTCTATTCCTATTCTATTTCTATTTCTATTTCTATTTCTTTTCTATTCTATTCTATTCTATTCTATTCTATTCTATTCTATTCTATTCTATTCCATTCCATTCCATTCCATTCCATTCCAACCTGCCATATTGCCTTGTAACCACTGGTGCCTCGACGGCTCGAGTTAAGACGGTCGTTAAGCGAACCTGGCTTTCCCATTGCAAGTCAGAAGGTCGCAAAAGGGGTTCGCGTGATTCCAGGACCCTGCGACCATCATAAATGTGAGTCAGCTGCCTAGCGTCTGAATTTTGATCACGTGACCCTGGAGATGCTGCAGCGGTTGTAAGCGTGGGGGGGGAAAAAGAACCCCAGTCATAAGTGCCGTGTCTGAACGGTCATTAAACAAACTCTTGTGAGACAAGGACGGCCAGCAATCGTTCGTTCAGTCCTGAGCCACAACTCTTCTCTACAGTTGGCCGCTTGGGAAGGAAGGAAGGAAGCAAGCAAGCATGCCACAATTTGAGCTTGAAAGACAATGGAGTTTCTTGCTCAATCCAGTCAAAACTGTTCCTGTGGCATTTTCCTGCCAGTGTTCTATCCGCTTGAATGTCAACTCAACGGCTAATTGACTTTGGGGTTAATTATGCCATGGAACCAGAATCAGAATAGAGCTGGGAGGGACCTTGGAGGTCTTCTAGTCCTACTCACCACTCAAGCAGGAGATCTTAGACCCGGGATGGAGAACCTGTGGCCCGTGTGCCAGAATTGGCATGCAGAGCCATCTCTGCGGGGACGCCAGCCGTCACCCCAAGCTCAGTTCTACTGCGCATGCGCATGTGCCTCCCGCCAGCCAGCTCATTTTCGGGTATCTGCTCCGCATGCGTGGCGGGCTCAGGGGACGCACGTGCTCATGCTCAGGGGGCAAGGGGAGCACGGGGGTTGCGCGTGCATGGCATTATGGGTGCATGCACATGCGTGCATTTTCAGTACACGATGACAAAAAGGTTAGCCATCACTGCCTTAGACCATTCCAGACAAATGGCTATCCAGTCTCTTCTATAGGTAGGTAGGTAGGTAGGTAGGAAGGTAGGTAGAGATAGATGGATAGAGAGATAGAAGATAGATAGGTAGGTAGATAGATAGATGATAGATAGATAGATAGATAGATAGATAGATAGATAGATAGATAGATAGATAGATAGATAGATAGATAGATAGATAAATAGATAGATAAATAGATAGATAAATAGATAGATAGATAGATAGATAGATTAGATAGATAGATAGATAGATAGATAGATAGATAGATAGATAGATTAGATAGATAGATTAGATAGATAGATTAGATAGATAGATAGATAGATAGATAGATAGATAGATAGATACATACATACATACATACATACATACATACATACTGTAGATAGTTAATTTGTTTTGTGCTTAATAAACAGCATACTGTCTGGGTCAATTCGTTTACATAGTAATACTTAAGTTCCTAATTTCTACCACTTTTATCCAGCCATTGATAAAACAAGTCCCAAATTCAAAATATATTCTGTCATCTTTTTCTTTTATCTTCAGTGTTAATGTGTCCGTTTCTGCACGGTCCGATATTTTTTTTTAATTATATCTTCTTTCGCAAGTTGTTTCCTTGCTTTTCCAATGTTGTGCAAATATGTTAAAACATGCAATATCAAATATACATTTCCTTTATATTTTTTCTGGTATGATGCCTTAACAAAAATAATTCTGGCTTGCAATCTATATGTTGTCTTAACATTTTTTCTTTTTTTGAAAACAATTTTATTAGTTTTTAAAGACAAACAAAACATAAAAACATCCAGCTTTCTTTCCTAGATAATACGTGCCCAGTTTTTGACTGTCCAGTCTCTTCTTAAAAGCCTCCAGAGATGGAGCATCCACAACTTCTAGTGGCAAGCTGTTCCACTGGTTAATTGTCCTCACAGTCAGGAAGTTTCTCCTTAATTCCAGGTTGCTTCACTCCTTGATGAGTTTCCATCCATGGCTTCTTGCTTTGGAAAATACTTTGACACCCCCCCTCTTCTTTGGGGCAGCCCCTCAAATACCGAAAGACCCCCCTCAAATCCTGTCAGCGCTAGTCCTCCTGTTCTCTACAAGATCATCCATCCTGTCCCAGGTAGATGGACCGTATCTTTCTCAATCGCCGCCCACAAACGTAACATCACCAGTAGTTGGGATTATACCTGAGTTGCTTAATGTGGCTATTTGAAATTTCTGTTTGCCATCAGAACTTGGTAAGGGGTGAAAGCACCAAAGTATAAATTAGATTGTGCATAATCTCTTGGTTCCCAGGATTGGATAGGATATTGTTGTTATTATTTTTATTAGAATTTTGTTTTCTTTAATCCCAGCTTTTACATAGTTTGGTTGACCTTCCCATTCGGCTTCCGAGAACAAAGTCAATGGGAGAAGACAGATTCGCTTCATCCCAATTCTGTTAATAACTCTAGTGATTCGTTTAACAACCGTGATGTTAAAAAAAAGGTGGGAAAGAATGGGAAAGAAACTCATTTAACAACTGTCTTGCTTAGCAATGGAAATGTGGAGCTCAATTGCGGTCGTAAGTCAAGGACTACCTGTATTAGCTGTCGGCAACAGGCAGTGTGTGTGTGTGTTGTGTGTGTGTGTGTGTGTTGTGTGTGTGTTGTGTGTGTGTGTGTTTTGTGTGTGTGTAGATGGATGGATGGACAGACGGACAGACATAGTGTGTGCGTGTGTGTGTGTAGATGGATGGATGGATGGACAGACGGACAAACTGTGTGTGTGCGCGTGTGTGTGTGTGTGCTTAGAAGGGTGTAATTGTTCTGACTGTTGCCCAACATTCAGAAAATAGCTTTTAAAAATGACTGCACCGGTTTCTTTTAATACTGGGGAAGAAGAACCATTCATTTCCCTTATTGTACAGGAAACAGTTTTGTTGTCAAAGATAACTGAACTATATATATATATATATTGTCTCCTGCTGTGCCCGCTGAGGTCATTCCAAGCTTCTCGACTCTCCCCGCCATTCATTTATATGTGTGTTTCCCCGAAAATAAGACCCTGTCTTATTTATTTTGCCAGCAAAAAAGGCACCCAGGTCTTATTTTTGGGGGGATGTCCTCCACTGACTAACCTCACCTGGGCGCGTCGCCCCCGGCCTCCTTTTCGCTGTCAGAGGCCTTCAGGAACTTCTTCTTCTGCAGCCACGGCTTTCCTGAAGGCCTCTGCAGCCGATATAACAGACCTCCAGATCGATCCTGAGCTGTTATCAGCTCCAGAGGCCTTCAGAAAAGCCTTACTGGCTGCAGAAGAAATGGGCCTGCAAGGCAGGCATCGGGGTGTAGGAACTGTCCAAAGGTCAGTAGTAGGGCAGCTCCACACACACCCCAACCCCACCCTAGCTTAATTTTTACCCGTCCGCCCTGGAGTGGGTGGGATCTTAATTAGGGCTTATTTTGGGCCCACGTGTAAAAAATCAAGCTAAGACTCACTTTCAGGGTAGGTCGTGTTTTGGGGAAAACAGGGTATTTATAACCTAGAATACATAGTCTTAATTGTAGGAGAAGTAAGCCGAGAGCCTTGGAATAGCCATACTAGTTTTTGCTTTCAGAAATGTCCTCCCCCCCCCCCCTTCTTCTTCAGTGAATAGGCTGTAAAATCATCTGAAGTTTTTGCTCATGCCTTGTGCTTTGGTTTCGTTTCTGCAGGGAACACCGTTAGCAACTTGATTTTCATTCTCCCTCCCATCTATGGTGCAATCCAGAGTTACAAAGATGGCCTTGAGAAACGCTACATAATGGCCTACTTGTGTGTCACAGGTACGTGAGCTTCTCTTCCGTTCTGTGACTTGCTTCGACCGAAGGGTTTTTCTCTGACTTCAGTGGGATCTCTAGTTTGAATGCCCACCTTATGTGCCCGCATGAAACGTAGCTGGAATAGTGGGGCACTGTTAAACTTTCAGCCCTGAGAAATAATGTGAGCTCTTCTAAGAAATTTTTTTTTATCCCATAGCTTTTTTACCAAATCTGTTTAGAATTTCATGACATTTTTTCTCTCTTGTCTATCATATGTATGTCTGTCTGTCTGTCTGTCTCTCTCTCTATTTATCTATCTACTCCTATCTCTCTCTCTTCTTTTTATCTATCTATCTATCTATCTATCTATCTATCTATCTATCTATCTATCTATCTATCTATCTATCTATCTATCTATCATCTATCTATCTATCCCAACTGTCTCTCTCTCTCTCTCTCTATTTACCTATCTATTTACCTACCTATCTATCTATCTCTATCTACATCTGTCTGTCCATCCATCTGTCTCTGTTTATTTATCATCTATCATCTGTCATTTATATCTATCTGCATCTGTCTGTCCATCCATCCATCCATCTCTTTCAACTGTCTTTCTGTCTATCTCTCCCCGTATATTGATCTATTTATCATCTATATCTGTCATTTATCATTTATATCTTTCTCTATACATCGGTCCATCCAACTGTCCATCTATCCATCTATGCCTCCATTCATCTACTGTCTCTCCGTCCGTCCATGCATGCATCCATCCATCCAGTGGTGGGATTCAACCGGTGTAACAACCAGTTTGGTGTGCGCACGCTAAATCAGCTTGTAGGTACTCTTCTACTTATGAGGCCGTATGCGTGAAAGCCGGTTATAAATCACTTTTTTTGGGGGGGTGCTGTTAACTTTGAATGGTTGCACACCGAGGACTACCTGCATGTATCTTTTTAATGCTTGTAAACCACCCAGAGTCACCTTAGGGGTGAGTGGGGAGGCATATACATTTCATAATAAATCCGTCAGAAAAAGAAAAATGTGTCAATATATATATCAAAAGCTGGAGTGGCAGAAAGAAGCAATCCTGTCTCCTCCTTGGCATTCTTCTCATAATCCTTTCTGATTTGGGTTTCAGCTGTGGGCCTGGGCTCCTGGTGCTTCCACATGACACTGAAGTATGAAATGCAGGTTAGTAGCCCTTGGAAAAAGGGTGTGCACATTTTGTGTCCCCTTGCCTGGATCCATTTTGCTTTCCTGGTTGATCAGTATGGGTGGTAGGGTGCATTCATAGTGTCAGGATTCCGACAGTTACCCCCATTTGAATCCTGAGTCTTGAGCCAAACTTCCAAAACTTCAAAAGGATTTATTGGGAGTTAACATGTCCGGCACTGCCTGGGTGTAGCTGACTCTGAGACACATAATTCACTGTCACCCTTGACCCTGGTTTTCCCTCCACCCTCTGGGTGTATCATAATTCATATTCTCCAGTGGGACACCTCCATAGCCCAGAGTCATCAATCATGCTCTCTGGTTAGAATTTTGCAGTGGCAGAAACTTCAGTCGCCTAGTGACTATCTTTGAAAACATTTATGGAATGCACTTTCGGTTTTGCAAGCTGCTGCATTGCTCCCCCTCCCTTTCTGTTGGCAACTCTAAAAAGACCATAGAAATATTTCATGAGCTGACACATGGCGTGTTTTGCTGTGGCTTATGTGCTGTCGTTTTCAACTCCTAGTGACCAAATACCCCAATAACAACTATGCTGTGGATAAAGTTAAAATACTATCCGAAGCCGGCTGGGAAGGTCACAAGTGGCGATCACACATGACCCTGGCATGCTGCAACCCTCATAACTGCATGCCAAGGGCATGACCATGGAGATGGTGCAATGGTCATAAGCGTGAGGACCTGTCGTTAAGTCACTTTTTTCAGCACTGCTGTGACTTTGAACGGTTTTAAGTTGAAGCTGCACCAGAGAATGGCCAGAGTGTATATCAAAATGGTTATGATGTTGTTGTTGCCCCTACGGTAGTTACACCATTGTCGCAACATGGCATGCAGTCCGAAGTGTTTCCCCCACCCCAGCCAAGTGCCAAATCTTAGTGACACCATTGTCAAATCCCAGAGGCAGAGCTTCTCACGCTTCTAAGGGAAGAACACACAACAGTTGTGGAAAAATAGCTTCACTGAATTTGAAGAATAATATTAACTCCCTTATACCACCACCCTCCAATTTAAAGTATGGAAAACTTTGGGTCCATCTCCTTGGCATCTTCTCCGTTGCAGGTTCTTAGCCTCCCCCCTCAAAAAATAAATGAATAATAATGTTGATCCTTTTCACTAAAAGTTGCCCTGCTCCGACCGAATACTTCATGCATTTTGACTTGGGGCTGCCATCTTTCTTTGAGTTTTTTCTGTAAGCGTCCATAATCTGTTTGTTTTTTTTGCAGCTGTTGGACGAGCTGCCCATGATCTACAGTTGTTGCGTTTTTGTCTACTGCTTGTAAGTATCTGTCATCAGTTTCTCTTTCTCTGCACGGGTTGCGGATTTGCTTCCAGGTGCAATTCAAGGTGTGCTGGTTGTCCCCTTTAAAGCCCTTCATGGCTTGGGACCAGGTTATCTGAGGGACCGTCTCTCGCCGGTCACATCTACCTGACCCATCAGAACAGGGAGGCAGGGAAGGCCGTGGGTCCCATTCCTGAGGGAGACCCAGAAGAAGGGCCTTCCCCATGGTGGCTCCCTCTCTCTGGAATATCATTCCCTCAGAGATTAAAATGGCCCCCACTCTGACACTGCTCCGGAAGGTGCTGAAGACCTGGTTCTGCCAGCGGGCCTGGGGAACCCAGAGCGGGAGGGAGCCCCATCAAAGGGCTCATGTGATCTGCTGTCGTCGCGGCAGGGTGGGTGGGAGTTTGGGGGGGGGGTGATTTTGTTCTTTTTGTTTTTTTATTGTTTTAAATGTGGTTTTACATTCTGTAAGCTGCCTCAAGTCGCCATGGGCGAATAGGCAGCAATATAAATTCAATAAATAAATAACTGATTAACAAGAGTTGCTCGCGGGCTTAAAATTGATCTCACTCACATAGATATGAGGGTTGAAGTAGCTAGTGGAGATACAGTACTGAATCTGCAGGGAGGGACTAGAATTCTCCATCTCCTGGTGTTTGGCTCAAAGTCACCCAGCCGGCTTTCATGGCAGGATTTTCGTGGAACTACAACTCACCATCTCCTAGTGATTGACCCAAAGTTACCCAGCCGGCTTTCATGCCTAAGGTGGAACTAGAATTCGCCGTCTCCTGGTGTCTAGCCTGGCGCCTAGTTTTAGGCAAGGCAGTGGGGGATTCTTGGAAACTACAGAAAATGTCTGTAACTTGTACGTCAATAAAAGAAATCCGGTTCAGTGCACAAAACCTATTTTCACTTGGTTATTTTTGATAATTTTTAGCCTTCGCATTTTTAAAGGTTGAATTTTCCTGCTAAGAAAAGTGGCTAGAGGATTGAATGTTGATGCTAGACAGTAGTAATTCTGGGAGAGAAATTAGCATCCATGCTTGACATCATATTTTTTTTCCAGTAACTCTCAAACAAACTCAGTCTTTTTTCTTTAAACCTGTTGCAACAACTGTTCCTCCCAATAAGCTGATTCTGAGCTTCTTTGGTACTAAATTTACCAAAACGTTATTAAAATCGGTGCTCTTGTGACAGTTTGATGGAGCTGCAAAGCCCATAATGTGCTTTGGATGTTTGATTTTTCCAATTTTTTTCTCTTTCTTTAAAATGTACAACAACTGTCACGGTCTCCTTTTATATAACACTGGTTAACATGGGAGGGGGGGAGGGAGAATTCCCTCATAAGGTAGCACTTTTGCTAATGTGAAACAATTTTGTTCTTACCCACGCCTCTTGCTTTTTATTATAAGTGGGTCTAATTTTAGAGAAGGGAGTTAAAAAGCACAAACAATTCTTTTGTTATGAGTAGAAAGAGTATTCTTTTAAGAGTGACTAAAAGAGGGTATGCCTCTGATCGAAACAAGTTTGACAAGTTTGCAATTCAGGTTTGCTAAAGCTGAAAACAAAACAGAATAATTATTCCTATTTCAGATCCCCTTCATTTGGAAAAGGTACAACCTGTTTTTTTTCCCCCTCCCGTGTTACCATGGCTTTGAAAATTATCAGCTTTTCTGCAGAATCCTAGAACTAAGTAGAATCTCACCCACTTCTCACAAGTGTATAATTGTTTGTAACTGTAACTTCATTTTATATGCCTACATTTTATGATAACGTAACCCTCCCAGAGCTACTTCAAACCATGAGATGGGCGACATATACATTTAATGAATGAATAATAATAATAATAATAATTCCTCATCGGCAGGAACTTACAAACGAGATCCCTTTACTATTTGGAATCCTACACTCCACAGAATTTTAAAACTGCACCAACGGGTTTTGTTGCTCCTGGTGTCCCCAAAAAGCTCCTGTTCGAAAGCCCGAGGACAAATTGTGCGTTAAAGGATTTATTTTGTCGTATCTTTTGCATCCTTGATCTTTCTCGTTCGTGTTTGTTTCAGGTACGAATGCTTCAAACACAAGAAAACAATCAACTACCCTCTTCTCTTCCTACTACTAGCCTACAGCATTGGCGTCAGCATAGTAAGTGAGATTTGTCTTACCTGAAACTATTTTTACAACGAGGTGGGGTGCTTGCAAACTAAGGACCCACCCACTGCTTTCCTTTCCCTTATGCATTTTAATTAGTCCTCAGCTTAACGACCACAATTGAGCCCAGAATATCAGTTGCTAAGTTAGTCGAGTTGTTAAGTGAGTTTTGCGAGCTTTCTTCCCACGGTACTTTACTTTACTTTACTTTTTTACTTTACTTTTTTACTTTACTTTACTTTACTTTACTTTACTTTACTTTACTTTACTTTACTGTACTGTACTGTACTGTACTGTACTGTACTTTACTTTACTTTACTTTACTTTACTTTATTGTCATTGCACCTCGTACAACGAAATTAAATGCCAACTTCAGTGTACATTATAACTATGAAAATAAACACAAACACACATCCTTCACATTCTATACATTAAATTGAAAACCCCTGATATTGCACTATATAGTAGAATTCAATAGAGTTCCTGCCCTGGGATAGAAGCTGTTTTTCAGCCTATTTGCCCTTGTTTTTATTATTATCCTGTACCATCTGCCAGATGGTAATAGTTCAAAAAAAAGGAGCCCAGGATGAGATGGATCTTTGAGAATGTTCTGAACTTTCTTAAGGCAGCTGGAGCTATAAAGCTCTTCCAAAGAGGGGAGAGGGTAACCCATGTTCCTCTGGGCAATGACATTAACCCTCTAATATCTGCCCCTGTGCAATTGGCAAACCATACAGAGGTGCAGTAAGTTAAGATACTCTCCATGGTGCAGCAGTAGAAGGTCACAAGCAGTTTTTTAATTCAGTTGTTGTTTCCTGAGAAGTCTCGGGTAGTATAATCTCTGCTGGGCCCTTTTGACCAGGGCTGCAATGTGAGCACCCCAGGTTCTTAAGCGAATCGCTGCAGACATTAAGTCAGGAACGCAGTTGTTAAGGGAATTTGGCTTTCTCGTTGAGTTTACTTTTCAGAAAGTCACAAAAAGTGAGATTACATGACTCAGGGGACACTGCAGCTGTTGTAAATATGAACTATTTGCCAAGCGTCTAAAGCTTGATCAGGTGACCATGGGGATGCTGCATTGGCCCTGTGAAAAATGGGTCATAAGTCCCTGTTTTTCAGTACCGTCGTAACTTTGAACGGTCACTAAACGAATGATTGTTCCATACCACTCTGTACTGTGGTATGGAAAAGCATTTTTTGTTTTTTGTTTTGTTTTATTGCCACGATGGTGACTTTTCCCAAACGAGAAGCATCTGTAGCTTTGTTTCCTCAACCTCTTCCATTTTAAACTGGGTGGACTTCAACTCCCAGAATTCCCTAGACAGCCATGACAGGCCGAAGAATTCTGGGAGTTGAAGTCCACCCAGCTTAAAAGTCGCAGAGGTTGAAAAAAAAAAAAAACCGATCTGCAGTCCGTAGGAAGAGAATCGTAACCTCGCAAAGGCTGGGCTTGCCAGATCCCTTCCCTTCCATCCCTGTCAGACATTTTCCTGATTAACTGGCTTTGCTTTCAGCACGGTTAACTAAATTGAAGATTTATCAGCTGCCTTCACAGAGCTTGTTTAATGTGAATCATGATTCATTTGGGGTGTGTAGGTATGTATGTGTGCATTGGGATAACTCAGCCTCTTTAGTTAATGACTAATTAGTTCAACTTTTGGTTAAGGCCAGAAAATGAGTGACTCAGTCAATAGCGTAGTGTCAACCTGGCCAGTGAATGTCTGGGCATCGTCCTAGCAAATTGGGGAGGAGAAGTAAGAAGAAGAAGAAGAAGGGAGTAAAATGTGGCCCAAGTAATGCAGAAGGACACAGTTGGGATTCTCTGTAGTTTGGTGCCCTCCAAAGCAACATGTCTCAGCCTTGAAGATATATATGGACTGCAACTCCCAGAATTCCCCAGCCAGCATGGAGATTATTGGTCTAAGGTAGTGTTTCTCAGCCTTGAAGATATATGGACTGCAACTGCCAGAATTCCCCAGCCAGCATGTGGTTCACACATCTTTAAGCTGCCACGGTTGAGAAATATTGTCTTAACGCACAAGTCTTCCATCTTGGCAAGTTTAAGACTTGTGGACTTCAACTCCCAGGGTTCCTGAGCTAACATTAGTGGTAAAGGAATTATGGGAGTTGAAGTCCACAAGTCTTAAACTTGCCAAGTTTGAAGACCCCTGATCTACAGTATCTGTCTTCTATCTCCATCTCCGTATCTATCTATCTATCTATCTATCTATCTATCTATCTATCTATCTAT